CCCAATCCCACTCCCAATCCCAACCCCAGTCCCAACCCCAATCCCAGTCCCAATCCCAATCCCAGTCCCAATCCCAATCCCAGTCCCAGTCCCAATCCCAGTCCCAGTCCAAGTCCCAGTCCCAGTCCCAGTTCCAGTCCCAATCCCAGTCCCAATCCCAATCCCAATCCCAATCCCAGTCCCAATCCCAATCCCAATCCCAATCCCAGTCCCAATCCCAATCCCAATCCCTCAGATCCCTCCCAGGGCCCAGCTGGAAAGAGCAGAGGGAACCAAACCTCAGCCTGGCCCAGGAGAAGAATCCCAGCCGGAATTCCGGACAAACTCTGGGATTTGTGGGATTGTAAAGATGCCTGGAGGGACAGGATTCCATCTTGGACAGGGCTTGGAGCAGGCTGGGATAGGGGGAAGCATCTGGAATGGGATGGGATCCAAGGTCCCTTCCCACCCAAAGCATTCCAGGATCCTCGGGAGCTGCTGGGATGGCTCCAGGCTGGAATTCTGCTTCCCCAGCAGCCAAATCCCATGGGATGCAGCTCCAAGGAAAACTCTGAGCTCCAGGGAATGCTGGGAGCCGCTTCCCGAGGCTCCAGGGGCTCCGGGAGAGCTGGGATTTGGGAAAGGGCCGCAGGGCCAGGAGCCAGGGAATGGCTTCCCACTGGGAAAGGGGAGCTGGGGCTGGGAGCTCGGGAAGGAATTCCCAGAGAATCCCTGGGATCAATCCCCAAGGAATGGCTGGAGCAGCCCGGGATCACGGGGAGTGTCCCTATCCAACGGGATGAGCTTTTCCTTCCCACCCGGAGCGCTCCAGGATCCTCCAGCCCTTCTCCATCCTCGGCTCCCGGGAGTGGAACTTTTGGGCCAGGAATTTCTCCTCCAGGCATGGAGGAGCTGGGAATGACACGGGAGGGGGACAGGATCCCACATCCCAGAGCTCCTCCTGACCTCCTGCTGCTCTCCTCCATCCATCATCCATCCATCATCCATCCGTCATCCATCCATCATCCATCATCCATCCATCCATCATCCATCCATCCATCATCCATCATCCATCCATCATCCATCCATCATCCATCATCCATCCATCCATCCATCCATCATCCATCCATCATCCATCCGTCATCCATCCATCATCCATCATCCATCCATCATCCATCCATCCATCATCCATCATCCATCCATCATCCATCCATCATCCATCATCCATCCATCATCCATCCATCATCCATCATCCATCCATCATCCATCCATCATCCATCCATCATCCATCCATCCATCATCCATCCATCCATCATCCATCCATCATCCATCCATCATCCATCATCCATCCATCCATCATCCATCATCCATCATCCATCCATCATCCATCATCCATCCATCATCCATCCATCATCCATCCATCATCCATCCATCATCCATCCATCCATCCATCCATCATCCATCCATCATCCATCCATCCCAGCATCCCGACCCTGCGCGTCTCCCGAGGATCTGCAGTCTCTGCTGGGTGATGTCCAGCGGCTCAACGAGACCTTCCGGGACCTGCGGCTGCGGCTGCTGCTCCCCGTTCCCATGGGAGGAGAACTCCTGGAGCACATCTGGAGCCTCCAGGAGCTCCTGCAGAACCACTCGGACTCTCTGGGGCGGCTGGAGGGGTTCCTGCACGGCCTGCGGGACCAGGCCGGACAGACGGATCGCTCCGTGGCCCGGCTCCGCGATTCCCTGCTCCGGCAGAGCGACGCGGCCCAGCTGGAGCTGTCCCGGCTCTCCGTGGACGCCAACGGCAGCCGGCTGCTCCTGGAGCACCACCAGCACCTCCTGGGCCACCTGGGCGGGCGCCTGGAGCTCCTGGGCGAGCAGGTGACGGCGCTGGCGGGAGCCGTGGATTCCATGAACCGCAGCTTCTCCTACGACGTCCGCCTGCAGCGCTCCCGGCTCCGGGATCTGCAGGGGCTCCTGGGCAACGCCAGCGCGGAGGCGCGGAGGATGAGGATGGAGCAGGCGGCCGTGGAGCGGCAGCTGAGGTTGGAGCTGGCCCTGCTCGACAACGTCACCGAGGAGCTGCGCCTGAAGGACTGGGAGCATTCCGCGGCCCTCCGGAATGTCTCTGTGATCCGCGGTGAGCGGGAGCGGGAATGGGCTGGGAGCGGGAGTGGGCTGGGATTGGGAATAGGCCGGGATCAGGAATGGGCCGGGAGCGGGAATGGGTCGGGATCGGGAATGGGCCGGGATCAGGAATGGGTCGGGATCGGGAGTGGGCTGGGATCGGGAGCGGGCTGGGATCGGGAGCGGGCTGGGATTGGGAATGGGCTGGGATCAGGAATGGGCCGGGATCGGGAATGGGCCGGGATCGGGAAGGGTCTCCCCGCGATCCTACGGGGAGAAGGGAGTGATGTCACCAAAGTCCAGATCCCTGGAGTGTGGCCGGGCTGGGGGAATCCATCAGGGAGCTGTGGAGCTGTTGGGGTTGGAAAAGCTCTCTGAGGGATCCCAGTGATCCCCCCCAGTGATCCCAGTGTGCCCAGTGCCCCCCAGTGATCCCAGTGCTCTCCCACAGTGATCCCACTGATCCCAGTGCTCCCCCCCAGGGATCCCACTGATCCCCCCCAGGGATCCCAGTGATCCCTCCCAGTGATCCCAGTGCTCCCAGTGTCCCAACCGTTCACCACTGTGGATCCGTGTCCCCCCAAATCCACACGGATTTTAATCCCTCCAGGGATGGCGACTCCAAACCCCCCCGGGCCTGCTCCAGTTCTCCTCAGCCCTTTCCATGCAGGAATTATTCCCGATATCCCGCCTGAGCCTGCCCTGGCCCAGCCTGAGGCCATTTCCCCTTGTCCTGTCCCTGTTCCCTGGGAGCAGAGCCCGAGCCCTCCTGGCTGTCCCCTCCTGGCAGGGACTTGTGCAGAGCCACAAGGTCCCCCCGGAGCCTCCTTTTCTCCAGGCTGAGCCCCTTTCCCAGCTCCCTCAGCCTCTCCTGGGGCTCCAGCCCCTTCCCAGCTCCGTTCCCTGCCCTGGACACGCTCCAGCCCCTCCAGGGCTCTCCTGGGCCCGGATCCAGCCCCGTCCATCCCTGCTCGGGCGTCTCCATCCCCTCGGAGTCTCCAAACATTCCCCATCCCTGGGTGGGAAGAAAGCTCCCAAGGCTCCCTCGAGGATGCCGGGAGGAAACAACTTCCCCCATCCCACCTTCTCCTCCTTTTCCAGCCTCAGCCATTCCCAAATCCCGGAAGAGTTTGGGTGGGAAGAGCCCTTCAATCCCATCCCGTTCCGACTCCAACACCTCCCACTGTCCCAGGCTGCTCCAAAGCCCATCCAGCCTGGCCTTGGGCATTCCCGGGATCCAGGGGCAGCCACAGCTTCCTTGGGAATCCTGTGCCAGGGAGGGGGAAACCCCCCGGAGAATCCCAGGAGCTCTGGGAATTCCCTCTGGAATTCCCGCTGGAAAGGCCGGGGCTGTTCCCCTTTTCCAGCTGCTGATCGGGAGGGGCCGGATGTGGTTGATCCCCAGGAGATCCATCCCCCTGGAATACCGACAGCTCCCGGGGTCCTTTCCCTCATCCCTGGGGGACGGTGGCTCCCAATCCCGTTTTTTTTGGGATTCTGGGATCCCTCTGCCCCAGTATTTCCCTATTTCCCCACTCCTGCATCCCGCTCTTCCCTCCCCGTCCCCGGGAATGACGTCACCCGCTCTGGGATGGAGCCACCAAGGGTGGGATCCAGCCCTGGAATCTCGTTATCCCAAACCAAATCCCTTCCCGAGCGCCGGATTTATCGGCCCTGACACATTCCTGGCATCCCAAACTTCCCTCTCCTCCCATCCCATGGATAATTCCCGGGGCCTCGTGCCCAGCTGGATTCATCCCAGCTCCAGATGTCCTTGGGCGAGTCCGTCGTGTTCCCGGGTTTGGCCGAGCCATTCCCGGCCTTTTCCCTTCTCCCCGAATCCTCGGCTATCCCGGGCTCTGGATCCCGGATCCCGGATTTGGCCGATGGCAGCTCGGGAAGGGCCCCGGCTCCTCTCCGGCATCCAGGGATTGCTCCCAGCGCCTCCCGTGCCTCGGGAAGGAGAACACGGAGAGGTTCTGGGTCTCGGGAGAATTCCCGGGATCCGCCGCCCGCCCGGATCCGCTCGCGCCACCCCGGGGTGGGATCTGCTGGATCCCAGCCGATCCCAAAGGCCACAGGAGGATCCCATCCCTCAGGGATTGGAGGCCGGGAGGGCGGGATGCAGCAGGAATGGGAATTCCCGCCTGCTGTGGGAAGGGTCGGGAGCCTCTCCCAGCCGCCCTTCCCAGATTTCCTCCAGCCCGGCCGCTCCCTGTCCCAGGAGCTGCTCCTGGGATGGGACCATCCCGGCAGGAATTCCAGAAAATCTGCGGCTGCCCCATCCCTGGAAGGGTCCATTCCCAGGATCCAGACTCCATTCCCAGGATCCGGGGTCCATTCCCAGGATCCAGGGTCCATTCCCAGGATCCAGGGTCCATTCCCAGGATCCAGGGTCCATTCCCAGGATCCAGGGTCCATTCCCAGGATCTGGAGTTCATTCCCAGGATCCAGGGTCCATTCCCAGGATCCAGGGTCCATTCCCAGGATCCAGGGTCCATTCCCAGGATCCAGGGTCCATTCCCAGGATCTGGAGTTCATTCCCAGGATCCAGGGTCCATTCCCAGGATCCAGGGTCCATTCCCAGGATCCAGGGTCCATTCCCAGGATCTGGAGTTCATTCCCAGGATCCAGGCTCCATTCCCAGGATCTGGAGTTCATTCCCTGGGATCTGGGATTGATCCCAAGGGTCTGGAGTCCATTTCAGGGCTCTGGAATTTTTTTCCAGGGTCTGGAGTCTATTCCCAGGATCCAGGCTCTATTCCCAGGATCTGGAGTCCATTCCCAGGATCCAGGCTCCATTCCCAGGATCCGGGGTCCATTCCCAGGATCTGGAGTCCATTCCCAGGATCCAGGGTCCATTCCCAGGATCCGGGGTCCATTCCCAGGATCCGGGGTCCATTCCCAGGACCTGGGGTCCATTCCCAGGATCCAGGGTCCATTCCCAGGATCCGGGGTCCATTCCCAGGATCCGGGGTCCATTCCCAGGATCCAGGGTCCATTCCCAGGATCCGGGGTCCATTCCCAGGATCCAGAGTCCATTCCCAGGATCCAGGGTCCATTCCCAGGATCCAGAGTCCATTCCCAGGATCCAGGGTCCATTCCCAGGATCCAGGGTCCATTCCCAGGATCCGGGGTCAATCCCTCCATCCCCTCAGCCCCGGAGCTGCTCCCCCCTGGGGCAGAGACAGTCAGGGCCGGGAATTCCACATTTCCCATCATCCTTTCCCATCCTTGACCGTCTCCAGCCCGGGATGCTTCCCAGCCTTGACACGGATCTGGATCCCACTCTGGATCCTGCTCCGGATCCCGCTCCTGATCCCGCTCCTGATCCCACTCTGGATCCCACTGCGGATCCTGCTCCTGATCCTGCTTCAGATCCAGCTCCTGATTCCGCTCCGGATCCTTCTCCTGATCCTGCTCCTGATTCCGCTCCAGATCCTGCTCCTGATCCTGCTCCAGATCCCACTCTGGATCCCACTCTGGATCCCACTCCAGATCCCGCTCCGGATCCCACTGCAGATCCTGCTCCTGATCCCACTCCTGATCCCACTCCTGATCCCACTCTGGATCCCGCTCCAGATCCCGCTCCAGATCCCTCTCCTGATCCTGCTCCATATCCCACTCCGGATCCCACGGATTCCTAGAGAAGATTCCCAGAGCCCAATTCCCGATCCATGAAAACCACCGCACATCCCTGCTCTTCCTGAGCCTTTTCCATCGCCCTGGCTGGATCTCAGCTTCCCGAGTTCCCAGCTTTTAGGATTTCTGGGAAAACACTTCCCGATGCTCCCCCCAGATGGGTGGGAATGACCCTTCCCAGCCTCTCCCTGCCCTCTTTTCCCTTATCCCAGGAATTTCCCCCCCCCCTCCTATTTTTTTCTCCTCAAATTCCTTCTTCCCATTGTTTTGGCTCCCGATTCTTTCCAGCTTTTGGGATTTGACCCTTTGCAGGATGAGGGACAAAACCCGGGACTGGAATTTTCCGCTCATTCCCGGGATTTGACCAAAATCCCGCTGCCAATCCTCTCCTCAAGGATCATCTCCAGAATTCCAGGAGGATCATCCCGGCTGGACAAATGTCCCTGCCCGTGGATGATCCTTAAAATCCCTTCCAAGCCCCAGAATTCCGGGATTCTGGGAACATTCCCAAATTTTCCCTGATTTCTTGCAATGGTTTCATTGGGAATGTCCCGGCTTTTGGTCTAAAGGAAAATTCCCGGAGTCGCGCTCAAGATGGAGCCTCCGGGTGAATTTTCCTGGCGCTTGGAGCAGGTCGGTGGAATTCCAGTTTGGGATTTAACATCCGGAAATCCCGGAGGATTAAAATCACGGAAAACCGCTCCGGCACCTCCTCTGTCCCCGCTTTGTTCCCAGGTTTCTCGGGGATCCCTGGATCTCCCTGTCCTGTTTCACATTCCCAAATCCGGGATGTGATTCCCGTTGTCTTCCAGGGCCGCCGGGACCCAAAGGAGACCGAGGCACGGAAGGGATGGAGGGACCGCCCGGCCTTCCCGGCCTTCCCGGCCTCCGAGGTGAGGAAAACATTCCCGGCATCCACAAAATCCCCCCGATCCCATCCCGACATCATCCAGGGGCTGATCCAAAGCCCGTGGGACCATTCCCGGTGACTTCCCGGCCCATCCCTCGGGGATGGATCCGCTCTCCCGGATCCTGCAATGTCCATCCTGGAGGGAAAAACGCCACGGCCCGCCCGGCTCCAGGAAATCCACGCTGATATTCCCAGATTCCGGGCTCTCCCAGGAATTGGCTGCCCCATTCCCAAACGGAGCCTTCCGAGGCAGCAGGGCTGGAATTGCTGCTGGATCCCTCCGGCAGATCCCGGCAGAGGGGCCTCGGCTCCCAGACTTTTCTGGGATGTTTTTTCCAATGTCGGGAACGCCGGTTTTCCCACTCCCCCTTCTTAATCCCATTGGTTTTGGGAGGAATTCCCACCAGAGCACATTCCCATCCTGAGGAAATCTTGGATCCAGCGGTTTGGGATTTGAGGGGAATCCTGGGAATGCTGGCTCCGAGTGGCACGGAGGATCCCCCTGGGAACAACCTGGTCCCACGGAGGTGACGGATCCATCCCGCCCGGAGCGGGGATCCGCTCGGATCCCGCAGGATGGAGCCCTGGAGCCAGAGCCAGAGCCAGATCCAGAGCCAGGTCCAGATCCTGAGCCAGGTCCAGATCCAGAGCCAGATCCAGAGCCAGATCCAGATCCAGATCCAGAGCCAGGTCCAGATCCAGATCCAGATCCAGAGCCAGATCCAGAGCCAGATCCAGATCCAGGGCCAGATCCAGGGCCAGATCCAGAGCCAGATCCAGATCCAGAACCAGATCCAGATCCAGATCCAGATCCAGGACCAGATCCAGTTCCAGGACCAGAACCAGATCCAGATCCAGTTCCAGGTCCAGGACCAGATGCAGTTCCAGGACCAGGACCAGAACCAGGTCTAGATCCAGTCCAGTTCCAGGACCAGGTCTAGCTCCAGGGCCAGTTCCAGGACCAGGTTCAGATTCAGGTCCAGGTCAAGGTCCAGATCCTGATCCGGGTCCATATCCAGGACCAGGTCCAGCCCAATCCCTGTCCTGCCCTGCTCCAAACCCATCCCCCAGGACTCTGGGTGTCCGATCCAGATCCGGATCCAGCTCCGGATCCATCCCTGCGATCCCCCGCTCCAAGGATTCCGAGGCACTTGCTGGGATTGCTTTGGGCTCAAACCCCGGGATTTTGGGATCTCTCCTTCCCGGGCCCAGCCCAGCGCCACTGAGCCAGCCTGGAAATCCGATCTGCCCCGGCAGCCCCTCCAGCTGCCCGTGTTCCTTCTCCCTGCAGCTGGAATTCCTGGCGCTGACGGATCCGTGGCTGTTTTCCTTGGGTGTAACAACCCTCGGAATTACATTGGCTCTTTTCCTCCGTTTTCCTTTTTTTTTTTTTTTCCCTCATTTTTTCCTTGTTCAAACAGAAAAACAAAGGAACCCCAGGAGGCTTCGGCTCCGGGAAGAGCTGTGGGAGCAGCCACGGCTTTTAGGGTTTCTCCTGGAGTTTTTTGGGATGTGGGCACGACCCTTTGGATCTGAGGTCGGGTTCAGGTGTATCCCAGGAAAATTCCCTTTTCCATGGGAAATCCACAAAGCAATCCAGGTCCTGACCCCTCCTTGGGATGGACACAGCCGGGAAAATTGGAGTTTGGGATAATCCCTGCTGGAGCTGGGGTGGGAATTCCTCCTCGCGAACCAGAGGAAAACGGTGCCCAGGTTTGGGAAAGCCCAGCCCAGGAAGGGCCCAGGGGATCCACAGGGATGGAGCCAGGCTTGGATCCGACCCAGCTCGGGCTCGGGATGAGTCCCTGGTGGATCATTCCCACGGGATCATCCCCGGCTCCCTCCAGATCCCGCCTCCAGCGCAGGCTCCATCCCTCCATCCCGGATCCAGACCTGGATCCACGTCCAGGTCCAGCTTGGAGTCCAGGATCGGATGCAGATCCAGGTCCAGGTCCAGGTCCAGATCCAACTCCAGATCCAGGTCCAGGTCCAGTTTCAGGACCAGGACCATGTCCAAGACCAGATCCACAACTGGATCCAGGTCAAGGTCCAGGATCAGGAACCAGGGCCAGTTCCAGATCCAACTCCAGATCCAGGAGCAGATTCAGGGCCAGTCCCAGATCCACAGCCAGGTCCAGGTCCAGGTTAAAATCCAAGTCCAGGTCCAGGTCCAGGTCCAAATCCAGATCCAGATCCAGGTCCAGGTCCAAGTCCAAATCCAGATCCAGGTCCAGGTCCAAGTCCAGATCCAGATCCAGATCCAGGTCCAGGTCCAGGCCCAGTTCCAGATCCAGATCCAGATCCAGATCCAGATCCAGATCCAGGTCCAGGACCAGGTCCAAGTCCAACTCCAGATCCAGGTCCAGGTCCAGGTCCAGGTCCAGATCCAGATCCAGATCCAGATCCAACTCCAGGTCCAGGTCCATGTCCAGGTCCAACTCCAGATCCAGGTCCAGGTCCAGGTCCAGGTCCAGATCCAACTCCAGATCCAGGTCCAGGTCCAGGTCCAGGTCCAAATCCAGATCCAGATCCAGGTCCAGGTCCAAGTCCAAATCCAGATCCAGGTCCAGGTCCAGGTCCAGGTCCAGTTCCAGATCCAGGTCCAGATCCAGATCCAGATCCAGGTCCAGGACCAGGTCCAAGTCCAACTCCAGATCCAGGTCCAGGTCCAGATCCAGATCCAGATCCAGATCCAACTCCAGGTCCAGGTCCATGTCCAGGTCCAACTCCAGATCCAGGTCCAGGTCCAGGTCCATGTCCAGGTCCAGGTCCAGGTCCAGGTCCAGGTCAAACTCCAGGGCCAGGTCCAAATCCAGGTCCAGGACCAGGAGCAGATCCAGATCCAGGTCCCACATGGATGAAGGTCACCTCCGAGGTTTGGATGTGTCCCTGGTGAAGGAATTCCCGAACTCCAGCCCCAATTCCCACCTCCCGGAGGTCGGGAATGCTCGCACAGGGGGCTTTCATCCACCTCCTTCTCCAAGAAACATCCAACCCCCGGGACAACAGGGATTCAGGAGACCTGGGGCTCCTGGGGGACACATCCCGATTCCTTGCATGGATCCTGGTTTTCCTTCCTCAATCTCCAGCTTTGGAGCCAAATTTCCTCCATCCGAGCCCGGGGACGCTCAGAAATTCCTCAGCTCCGGATAAATCCTTCCCGGATCCCGAGGAAGCACAGGAACAGGATGGGCCGGACTCTCTGCGGTCTCCCGGTGTTCCCGGCCCACGGGGAGTGTTGGAATTCTGCTGGAAGCGGCTGATTTTGTGTCCTCGTCCTCATTCCAGGCCTTCCCGGGGAGCGGGGACCCCCCGGCCCGCAGGGATTGAAGGGGGACCAGGGAGAGCCGGGCCCTCGCGGCCCCGCGGGAACGCGCGGATTCAAAGGTACGGACGCCATTCCGGCCGGGATCCGGGAGCGGAGGAGATCCCGGGATGAAGGGAAGGGAGAGCGGGGGATCCTCCGGATCTCCTGGCGGAACGGGAATCCCAACAATTCCCACACCGCCCTTCCGACCCCGTCCCAACCATTCCCGCTGGAGAGGGAACCGATGGATTTGGGATGTCCTCCCATTCCATGGGGCTCCCTGGGGACCTCCCGGGCCTGGCCCCAGCAGGGATTTGGGAATAATCTCCCGGTTCTTTTCCAGGGTGTCCCTGGGTCTTCCCACAGCCGGGAAAACCGTGGGAGTAGGAAGTGGGGATTTGGTGGGAGCGGCCGGCCCCGGACACCCGGGATGGGAAATTCCGAGCTGCATTCCCAAAAAATTCCCTTTGAGCCTCGGAATTCCTGCTGGGAAGAGCTGGGAGTTGTAGGGAATGGAAACCTGGAGTGGGATTGGGATTGGGATTGGGATTGGGATTGGGATTGGGAAGGGACCTAAAAGATCCTTGGATTCCACGTTCTTCCACTATCCCAGCTTGCTCCAGGAGGTTGGAAAACCCCTGGATACACCCCCGGAGCACCAGGAATGTCGGGATTTTCCCACTGGCCGAGGGCTCCTTAAATCCGGAAAGCGATCCCAAAAATCCCGGCCGGGTTGGGTTGGGATTCTCCAGCCTGGTGCCGGATTTGCTCGGCAAAGAATCATGGAATTGTCGAGGCTGGGAAAGTTCTCCGAGTTCTGAGCATTCCCAGCCCGATCCGCGTCCCCCAGCGCCACATTCCCATGGATTCCAATCCCTCGGGAATGGGGGCTCCAGTGCCGGACTCGATGGGCTCCGAGGGATTTTCCAACCTCAACAATTCCATGAAAACCTCAAAGCCGTTCCCGGATCCCGTCCCCATCCCTCGTGTCCCACATGGATGGGGGTCACCCCCAGGGCTCCCGAAAATCCATCCCCATCCCCCTCCCCTTCCCGGAGATCGGGAATGTCAGAGACGGGCGTTCAATCCAACCCCTTTTCCAATGAAAATCCAACGCCTCCGGCAGCGCTCGGGCACTTTGGGATTCTCTGGAATTTACGGGAAACAGACCCGGATCCGGGCACGGATCCAAAGCCGGGCTTTGCCTTAAATCCCGGATTTCTGTCCTACCCTTCCCCCAGGATTTCCTTCCCCCTCGGTTCCCTGGGAATTGCATCCCAGGAATCCTGGGAGGGGGGGTTTGGGTGTGGAGGAGCCTCCTCATGGGAAATTCCAGGTCTAAACCTCTCCCGAGTCCTTTCCCTGCTCGGTGTTTTCCCTTTTCCAATGGGTTTTCCCAAACGGGAAAAATTCTCCTGGGAAGGAAGGACAGGACCGCCCTCCCCACTTTTCCATGGAAAAGGAAACACACCCAGGAGGAAACAGCAGGAAAAACCTGAGCTGGGATGGGAAATTCCGGGATGGGTTCGGGGGTGGGGGATCAGAGAAGATTCCCTCCGCAACATCCCCAGGCTGGAATTTTTGGGAATGTTCCTGGAGGCGGAACCTGAATCCACCTGGGAAAATGGGGATTGGTGGAGTCTCCTGGGGATTTTCCCGAGGTTTTGGGCTCCGTCATTCCCTGCGGATCCATGGGAAGAGCTGAGGGATTCTGCCGCGGTGTCCGGAACTAAGATTTGTCCACGATCCCAAAAAAAAAGGATGGGAAAACGGCCTGGAACGCTCCGATGGTCACCGGGGCAGGAGGGACCGGGAGAGGCTCCTCTGGAATTCCCGGGCTCTGTCCCAGCCCCGAGGCTCCCTCCAGGCTCCCAGGGAATCCGATCCCATTTTTTTGGGATGTTCTCCAGCCCCGACACCTCGGGAGCTGAAGTCACCGAGTTATTCCCAGCAGGAAATCCCTGGGAAGAGGGGGGAGGTGGGAAAAGGGGGAAAAGAAGGAGCTGGAGAAGGCCGGGGAAGCTGCGGCTGCCCCCGGATCCCTGGGAATGTCCAAGGAAAGGCTGGAGCAGCCTGGGATAGCGGGAGGTGTCAGGCTCGGAATGGGCTGGGATTGAAGGTCCTTTCCCACCCGGCCCATCCCGGGATTCCTGGAATTCTCGGAGCGGTGATGGAAACTGGGATGAGTTGGGGATTTAGGGATGCTGCAGGGACGGGAATCCTCTTCCACATCCCCCGATCCCAGCGATCCCAGAGATCCCTGGATCCCTCCAGCTCGGCCTTGGGCACTGCCAGGGATCCAGGGATTCTCCAGCCAGGAATTCCTTCCCAAGCTCCCAGCTCCCCTTTCCCAGTGGGAAGCCATTCCCTGGCTCCTGGCCCTGCGGCCCTTTCCCAAATCCCAGCTCTCCCGGAGCCCCTGGAGCCTCGGGAAGCGGCTCCCAGCATTCCCGGGATCCTTCCCTGATCCGGCTGCACATTCCCGGCTCTCCCGGAGCAGCTCCGGGGCCTCCTCTGGAATTTCTCCATCCGGAGTCGGGATCTGGAGCTGCTCTGCTCCCCCTTTTCCCACCGCCCCAACTTTGGGATCATCCCAGGCCCTTTCCCGGATCATTCCAGCCTCTCTCTCTCCCAGCCCAGCCCATCCCGTTCCCAATCCCATTTTCCCCGCGCTGGCCAGGCTGGATCTGCTCCAGCATCCCGACCCCATCCCGAGGCGGGAGCCGCATCCCTGGCCGCATTCCCGGGATTTCCATCTGGATCCCATCAGCTCCCGGCCGCTTTCCCTCATCCCACACATCCCCCTGGAGCCATCCCGCTCTCCCGGAGCCTCCCAGGGAAAGGGCGGGAATTTCCTGCCCAGCTCTGGGATTTGGGATCGTTTTCCATCCAATGTTTTCCTTGATCCCGGATTTCGGAGCCGCTCCAGGCGTTGTTTGTCGTTCCTCGGGATGGGGCCGAGCCGGGATCGGCAAATCCCAGCCCCCGGTCCTGGAAAACTTGGGAATGAGGGAGGAGGAGGCTCCAGGAGAGCCAAGGGGTGACAGAGCTCGTTAGTGAGCTCATTAACAGGGTTAATTAAAGCCTCGTTGGGATATGAAATCATTCCCGGGATATCGGATGGGCGGGAATGATTATCCAGCTGTTCCCCGGCATCGCCCTTTTCCATGGACACGAGCTCGGTGCTTCCGCAGGGATTTGGGAATCCCCGAGCCCGGCCCCGAGTGAGGATTTCCCACCCCAAATCGGGAATTTCATCCCAAAATCCAGAGTTTCGCTGCTTTTTACGGGATCAGGAATTCCAGGAACACCGGGCCTGTGGTTCACCTCTGCCCCGGGATGTGTTCCCGAAGGATTTTTGGGATTTTCCCGTCCTTCCAGAGCAGGGATGGGAATTCCCAACAATTCCGGCTCCTTCCCTTCCCAGGTGAGCGCGGCCCCAAGGGGGACAAGGGCGACCGAGGCGCTGCCGGCGGCACCGGTGAGTTCCTGGATCCCGGATCCATCCCGAGGAATTCTTTGGGAATTTGGAGCCTGGGGAGTGCTGGGAAATTCCTGACACAAAGAGGCTGCCGGGAAAACCATCCCGGGGTGTTCCTGCCCGGGAGAGGAGGAGCCGGGAAGTGGGAGAGGTGGGGGGAGCGGGAAAGGACCGGGAACGGAGGAGGGAAAAACTCGGGAATGGCGGAGGGAAGAGTTTGGGAATGCCGGAGGTGTCCTGCAGGCTTGGGACACCTTCCTGCCATCCCAGGGACATCCCTGCCTGGGGACATTCCCATGGAACTGGGGACATCCCATCCCTGCCTGGGGACATTCCCATGGAATTGGGGACATCCCATCCCTGCCTGGGGACATTCCCATGGAACTGGGGACATCCCGTCCCTGCCTGGGGACATTCCCATGGAATTTCAGGGAGATCCTGGGGACATTCCCACGGAATCCCATGGAATCCCAGCTTGGGCGCATCCCATCCCGGGGACATTCCCTGGAATCCCGTGGAACTGGGGACATCCCACCCCAGCCCTGGGGACATTCCTTGGAATCCCGAGCCCATCCCAGCCCCCGCGGGAGCCCGGCCGTGACCGCGGCCGATCCCCAGGGATTTTTGGGAATGCCGCTCCCACCCGGATCTGGCGGCGGGAGCAGGGCTGGGATGGCCGGGAGCTGCCCTGGGGGGGCACCGAGGGATGGGGACACCGGGAATGGTGATGATGTCACCAGGGATGGTGGTGATGACGTCACCAGGGATGGTGGTGATGACATCACCTGGGATGATGATGATGATGTCACCAGGGGTGATGTCACCAGGGATGATGATGTCACCAGGGATGACGCCACAATGGATTATGATGATGTAACCATGGGTGATGATGATGTCACCAGGGGTGGTGATGATGTCATCATGGATGATGATGATGATGATGATGATGATGATGATGATGATGATGATGTCACCGGGGGTGATATCACCATGGATGATGATGTCACCATGGATGATGCCACAATGGATTATGACAATGTTACCATGGACGATGTCACCATCCCTGGAAATTCCAGCATGGATGATGTCACCATGGATGACGTCACCATGGATTACATCATCATCCTTTTGATGATGTCACCATCCCTGGAGATGTCACCATGGATGACATCACTGTGGATGACATCACCATGGATGATGTCACCATGGGTTACGCCATCATGGATGACATCACTGAGGAAGATGACGATGCCATCTCCCATGATGATGATGCTCAACAACCGTGGGTGACGTCACCGTGGGTGATGCCACCATGGGTGACGTCACCACAGATGATGATGACACCATCCCCCACAATGATGGCGATCATCCACCATGGGTGACATCACCATGGGTGACGTCACCACGGGTGACATCACCATGGGTGACATCACCACGGATGCCATCCCAGTGCCAATGGCATCCCGGTGCCATCCCGGTGCCATCCCCAGTGCCATCCCCGGTGCCATCCTGGTGCCATCCCTGGTGCCATCCCGGTGCCGGTGCCATCCCCCGGGGTTGGTTTGTGTTCCCGCAGCTCCGGCCGAGGGCTCGGTGCGGCTGCAGAACGGCTCCGGCCCCCACGAGGGTCGCCTGGAGATCTTCCACGAGCGCCGCTGGGGCTCGGTCTGCGACGACGGCTGGGACCGGCGTGACGGTGACGTGGCGTGCCGCATGCTCGGCTTCCCCGGCGCCGCCGACGTCTTCCGCATGGCGCGCTTCGGCCAAGGTGCCGCTCCCGGCTCCGGGATCCAACGGGGGCGTCCCCGTCCCGCTCCAGAGACCTTCCCAGGGTGGGATGGGTGGGGAGCGGGTGAACCCCGGGGTCCCTTCCCGGGCTGGAGATTCCCGAGTTCCTCTGAGCTCCTCCATCCGGCCTCTCGGAGATGGGGGATCCCAAAAAAGCTGCTCCGGGAGCGCGGCCGGAAAATTCCGGAGCTGCTGTCCCACGTTCCCGCCTCAGGAGACCTCGGGATGCGTTCTGCCATCGCTGCTCCGTGCTCCGGCCATCCCAGCTTTCCTTGGGGATTGATCCCAGGGATTCTCCGGGAATTCCTTCCCAAGCTCCCAGCCCCAGCTCCCCTTTCCCAGTGGGAAGCCATTCCCTGGCTCCTGGCCCTGCGGCCCTTTCCCAAATCCCAGCTCTCCCGGAGCCCCTGGAGCCTCGGGAAGCGGCTCCCAGCATTCCCGGGATCCTTCCCTGATCCGGCTGCACGTTCCCGGCTCTCCCAGCCCTGGGGTCTCTCCAGGGCCGAGCAGATCCATGGATATTCCGGAGCCGGGGAATTCCAGGCTCTCTCTCCGTGTCCGTGTCCGTGTCCGCAGGCACCGGGAAGATCTGGATGGACGACGTGTCCTGCACGGGCAGCGAGGATTCCCTGGAGCTCTGCAGCTTCTCGGGGTGGGGCAGAACCAACTGCGGCCACGCCGAGGACGCCGGAGTGCGCTGCCGGACGGACTGAGCCCGGAGACATCCCGAGGGAAACCCCAAATCCATCCTGAGGGGAAACCCCAAACTCATCCCGAGGGAAACCCCAAACTCATCCCGAGGGAAACCCCAAATCCAACCTGAGGGGAAACCCAAATCCAACCCAAAGGGAAATCCCAAATTCATTCCAAAGGGAAATCCCAAATCCATCCCAAAGAGAAACCCCAAATCCAACCTGAGGGGAATCCCAAATCCATCCCAAACCCATCCCAAAGGGAAATCCCAAACCCATCCCAAAGGGAAACCCCAAATCCAACCTGAGGGGAAATCCCAAATCTGTTCCAAAGGGCCAAGGGATGATCCCAAAGCCATCCTGAGGGGAAATCCTAAATCCATCCCAAAGGGAAATCCCAAATCCATCCCAAATCCAACCTGAGGGGATACCCCAAACGCATCCCAAAGGGAAATCCCAAATCCTTCCCAAAGGGAAACCCCAAATCCATCCCAAAGGGAAATCCCAAATCCATCCCAAATCCAACCTGAGGGGAAATCCCAAACTCATCCTGAGGGGAAATCCCAAACTTATCCTAAATCCATCCCAAAGGGAAACCCCAAATCCAACCTGAGGGGAATCCCAAATCCATCCCAAACCCATCCCAAAGGGAAATCCCAAACCCATCCCAAAGGGAAACCCCAAATCCAACCTGAGGGGAAATCCCAAATCTGTTCCAAAGGGCCAAGGGATGATCCCAAAGCCATCCTGAGGGGAAATCCTAAATCCATCCCAAAGGGAAACCCCAAATCCATCCAGGAAACCCCAAATCCATCCCAAAGGGCCAGGGAATGACCCCAAAGGCATCCTGAGGGAAATCCTAAATCCAACCCAAAGGGAAAATCCCAAATCCATCCGAAAGGGAAAATCCCAAATCCATCCCAATGGGAATTCCCATCCCGGGATCCCATCCAGGCTCGGGAATGGGATCATTCCCAGGGAAATAAAGGATTTTGGTCTTCTCCGGCTGGGCCAGAGAGCTGTGGGGTTTATGGGGTTTTGGGGATTTATGGGATTTATGGGGTTTTGGGGATTAATGGGGATTTATGGGATTTATGGGGGTTTTGGGATTAATTTGGTTTATGGAATTGAAGGGAATTTATGGGAATTTATGGGGTTTTATGGGAGTTAATGGGATTTATCACATTTATGGGGTGTATAGGATTAATGGGGATTTATGGGCTTTTTGGGATTTATGGGAATTTATGGGGGTTTATGGGATTAATGGGATTAATGGGATTAATGGTGTTTATGGGGTTCATGGGGATTAATGGGGATTTATGGGGATTTATGGGAAATTATGGGAGTTTATGGGGTTTGTGGGATTAATGGGATTAATGGGATTAATGGGATTAATGGTGTTTATGGGGTTCATGGGGATTAATGGGGATTTATGGGGATTTATGGGATTTATGGGAATTTAGGGGGGTTTATGGGGTTTTATGCGGTTTATGGGATTAATGGTGTTTATGGGATTAATGGAGATTATTGGAATTTATGGGGATTTATGGGGGTTTATGGGATTTTTGGGATTTATGGTGTTTATGGGATTAATCGAGATTTATGAAGATTTATGGGAGTTTCTGGGGTTTTTGGGGTTTATGGGATTAATGGGATTAATAGGATTAATGGTGTTTATGGGGATTCATGGGGATTTATGGGATTTATGGGAAATTATGGGAGTTTATGGGATTAATGGGATTAATGGGGTTTATGGGATTAATGGGGATTTCTGTGTTTTATGGGGATTTATGGGGTTCATAGGATTTATGGAGTTTATGGAGTTTTTGGGATTAATGGACATTTATGGGGTTTATGGGGATTTATCGGGGGTTATGGGGATTATGGGGATTCATGGGAGTTAATGGGATTTATGGGATTTATGGGATTTATGGGAATTTTTGGGAATTTTTGGTGTTTTATGGGGTCCGGGGGCTGTGGGGGATCACGGGGTGATGGGGCCCGAGGGGTCTGGGGGGGTCACGGAACACTCGGGGTTTCTGGGGCCGCAGGGATCGGGCTTTATGGGATTTATGGGATTTCGGGGGATTTCTGGGATTTCGGGGGATTTCTGGGAATTCTGGGGATTTCCGGGACCCCACAGCGCCCCCCAAACTCTCGGGGACCCCTCCCCAAACCCCCGAAGCCCCTCCCAGCCCCACAGAGCCCCCGGAGCGCCCCGAATCCCGCCCCGCTGCTTTTGGGGCCGCCCCAAAACCCCGGCAGCGCCCCAGGTCACGCCCACTCCGCCATGGCCACGCCCACTCCTCCATGGCCACGCCCCCACACCGCTCGCGCAGCTTACGTCATCATGCCAGCGCTTGACCACGCCCCGTGGTCTTTGACCACGCCCCCTCTCAGTTCCCATTACCATATTTGGGCGTTGGCCACGCCCCCGGAAGGGGCGGTGCCAACGCGAGAGCGCGCGCGGAGATTCGAACGCGGCGCCCGTTAACGGGCGGGAAAGGCGGGAAAAGGAGCCGGGAATTCCGCGGGATCGGCACCGGGAAAGGCGGGAAGAGGAGCCGGGAATTCTCCGGGATCGGCACCGGGAAAGGCGGGAAGAGGAGCCGGGAATTCCCTGGGAATTCCGCAGCCGCGCGCCCCGAGCCGAGGTGGGACCGGGGGGCTCTTCCTGGGATTCCCCCCAAAACCTGGGATCCCCCATTCCCAAATCGGGGCCATCCCGAGCTGGGATCCCAAATTCCCGAACTGGGATCCCAAATTTCCCGAGCTGGATCCCAAATTCCCGAGCTGGGATCCTCCAGGTTCGGATCCCTCCTATCCGGAACCCCCCAGTTCCCGACTCTGGGACCTCCCAAATCCTGGGACTCTCCGAATTCCCAAATCCAGGATCCCGCAATTCCCGAATCCGGGATTTCCCCAGATCCCAAATCCAATTTACGGCCCCCCAATTCCTGAATGTGGGATCTTCCCAATTCCCAAATCCAGGAACCCTCAATTCCCGAATCCGGGACCTCCCAAATTCCCAAATCCGGGAGTTCTCCAAATCCCGGGTTTCCCCATTTCCTAAATCGGGGAACCCCCAATTCCCAAGTCCAGGAACCCTCAATTCCCAAATTCAGGATCTCCCGAATTCCCAAATTCGGGATCTCCTGGAGCCATTGGGATCCCTCCAAGTCCCCTCGTGCCAAAGGGAACCGGGATCGGGATCCAGGATCGGGATCCAGGATCCAGCACCGGGATCTGACTCCAGGATCGGGATCAGGATCTGAATCCAGGATCTGGGATCGGGATCAGGATCTGGATCCAGCACCAGGATCCGCGGTTGGGATCAGCACCCGGATCAGGATCCGGGACTGGGATCGGGATCCAGGATCGGGACCAGGATCTGAATCCGGGACTGGGATCGGGATCCAGGATCGGGATCAGCACCGGGATCAAGATCCAGCACCAGGATCCAGGACTGGGATCGGGATCAGGATCTGGATCCAGCACCAGGATCCGCGGTTGGGATCAGCACCCGGATCAGGATCCAGGACTGGGATCGGGATCCAGGATCGGGACCAGGATCTGAATCCGGGATCCGGGACTGGGATCGGGATCCAGGATCGGGATCAGCACCGGGATCAAGATCCAGCACCAGGATCCAGGACTGGGATCGGGATCGGGATCTGAATCCGGGATCGGGATCCGGGATCGGCTCCATGGCCTCGCTCCGCTCCCCGTCCCCCCCGTCCCGCGGGGCTGAGGAGGGTGAGCAAATCCCGGGATGTTCCCGCCAGCCTTTTCCCGGGAAAATCCCGGAGATTCCCGGGAAAACTCTGTCAGCCCCTCCCCCCTCCCCTCCCTTCCCCCCGCTTTGATCCGGGTGGGAAATCCCTGGGATGGGATTCCCATCCTAAATTCCCAGTTTCCCAGCCCTTTATCCCATCCAAATTTGGGGGGATTTTGGGTTTTTTGGGGTTTTTGGGGCGCTTTTTTGGTGATTTTTGGGGCGATTTTCAGGGGGTTTGGGTGAATTTGGGGGTTTTGGGGCGATCTGGGGGTGCCAGGGCTGATTTTGGGGTTTTTTTTCTGTTGATTTTGGGGGTTTTGGGACTATTTTTTAATGATTTTTGGGGCGATTTTGGGATAATTTTTGGGGCTACTTTGGGTGGACTGAAGATTTTGGGCTGATTTGGGGCTATTTTGGGGCAATTTGGGGGATTTTGTGGGGTTTTGGGGATGCCAGAGCTGATTTTGGGACAATTTTGGGGGGTTTTGGGGTGATTTTTGACCATTTTGGGGACGATTAGGAGGATTTTGGGGGATGCTGATGATTTTGAGGGGGTTTTGGGGCCTTTTTTTTTGGTGATTTTTGTGATTTTGGGGTGATTTGGGGACAATTTTGGTTGATTTGGGGGTTTTTGGAGGGATTTTGCAGGGGTGAACTGAAGATTTTGGGGGGTTTTGGGTGATTTGGGGCGATTTTTGGTGATTTTGGGGTGATTTGGGGCGATTTTGGGGTGTTTCGTGGTGATTTTTTGGGACAATTTTGATTTTGGGGGTTTTTGGAGGGATTTTGCGGGGGGAACTGAAGATTTTGGGGGGTTCTGGGTGATTTTGGGGTGATTTTTGGTG